GGTTATTAATTCATTTTTTTAATTAAAAAACGTAGTTTACTAGCCAAGCAGATGGGGAAAAATAGAAAAAATACATAAATAAAAATAAATAAATTCATAACGACAAAATATTTTGAATTGAATAGTATAAAATTTTAATGTTTAATATGCTTTCAAGCAATGAAAATATTATCTTATGTTCCTCAAAGATTTTGAATTTCCCACGCGTTTGGTAAATACTGTTGGTAGTTTGGGCAGCACTGACAGGGATTCAACTTTAAGAAGTAGGGACGGTAGAAGGGAGAAGCAGTAGACTATTATTATGTGAATCAGCTGAGCAGTGACCGTTTGTCGCTTACGCATTCAGTGCTCCACGTGCTTCTTAATAGCTTCTTTCTAACATTTCAAATTTTACTGCTTTCAACAGTTTGCACCAACTTGTTCTTTCTCCATTAGCGAAAGTGGCTTTTTGTTGATTGAGTGCAACAAGAAATTGAAGGCAAATTGTATATGAAAACATACAACATTGCCTAAAACAGTGTTAAAAAAATCATCATCTATAAAGGTTCATACTGATATATGTTTTAATCCATTTTAAAAAATTAGTCATCCCAAAAAAGTGTGTCAAATTTGTGAAAAGTAAACGAAAGCCAGCTTCGAACCTTAAATTTGTCAATTACTAATGAGACACTGCAACAACGGAGTTGCGATTCGTGTCGTCAGCGTATCCAAAGTATAAAAGAAGAAAAAAATGACATTATTGGAAATTATCAAGTAGAAATGGTATGTATCAGTGTATTAATGTTGAATGTAACTGCATCATAGTATTAAAAATTTTTACTGGAATCTAACTTTTACGTACAGCTTTAAACAGTGAAGTATGCCCTTAATTCTTTTAGGCCGTTAACTTCTTTAAGTCGATCAAATCAATTTCTTGGAAAATTATTATGTTTTAAATTAAATGTTGAAATTAAATTATTAAAATTCATTTTATTGTATTTTAATTTAATAGAAATTATTAGACTTCCACTATTTTAAATAATGTAAATAATAAGTTTTAATATTATTTATAGCAGGAAAACAAGGAAGTATTAAGCAGTGAAGAATCTGACAGTAAAAGTGAAAGTGGATCTACCTCCGGGGCAGCTGGAGAAAATACAGCGTTACTTAACGATCGTATTTAATACTTGAATAAAGGATTAACTGCCTTAGAATCCTCACCGATTAAAAAAAAAAATTACCCAAAAAAGGTACTCCGAAGAAAAAATTAAAATAATTATAGAAGTAATTAAGAAAAAGTGTTTAACGTGACAGACGATGGTCCAGATGATCTTGATGACGAGGATGATGACATTACAATTTTAAGAACTTTACAAGAAAGTTTTAATACTTCGCAAGACCGAGTTCACAAAATAAAGATTTTAACCATTTTCAGACATTGGTCTTACAACAAAATATTAATTAATTTTCCAGCAGCAACTCGTCACATGATTTCTATTGCAAAAACAATTGCTAAAGAAAAAGGTATTTTAAATGATCCAAACCCTAAATATCATCTATCTTCAGAAGCAGATTTTGTTAGTACTATAGTCACGTTTTATCAGTCTGATGATTATACTCAACTGATGCCAGGCCAAAAAGATTACGTTTCTGTTGAAGTAGGTGAAACGCAAATTCATATGCAAAAAAGACGAATCTTAAATAACTTAAAAGAATTAAATGATCATTTAAAAATTAAACATCCAACAACTAAATGTAGTTTTTCAAAGTTTGCTAGTTTGCGTCCCAAACATTGCGTGTTAGCTGGAGCTTCTGGTACTCATTCTGTCTGTGTGTGTGCAATACATGAAAATGTTAAATTATTGATTGACGGAGCAAATTTAAAATCAATCACTGCTGATTCGCCGCAACCTATAAAAAATTACCATGATTGTTTGGATCGCATGATTTGTCCTAGTAAATCTACTAATTGCTTTTTAGGAGAATGTGATAAATGTCCTGGCATAACTAATATTATTTATCAACTCGAACAAACTTTTCAAGACAAAATAGTTAAAAATATTACATACAGACAGTGGATTACAACCGAAAGAACAACTTAACAAAAACTAATATCATCTGTTGATGAATTTTTACAAAACTTAAGAAACGGTCTGTTCAAATTATTCACACATTCATTTTTAGTAAATAAAAAGAGATATTTTAAATGAAAAAAAAAATGAAAAATAAATTACTGAAAAATGGAATAACGATAAAGTGACGATACATCCATTTTCTATTTATAACAAAGATGATAAAAACGAATTGTAGCTAAAAAGTTTAGTAAGTACGTCTGATTGTTACGACATGACACAATTGCAGTCCATATTTTAAAAAAAAAAGGTAGTACAATTTATAAAATCAAATTTAAAGGGGATTACCAAATAATATCTTTTTCGGACGGTGCCAGTGGGCAATACAAAAATAAGAAAAATTTCATTAACCTTTTACACCACGAAAAAGATTTTAAATTACTAGCTGAGTGGCACTTTTTTCCGACTTCACATAGAAAAGGGCCATGTGATGGACTTGAAGGTACTTTAAAAAGACTTGCAGCTAGAGCTAGTCTGCAAAGGGTTAATAACCCTGTCCGAACACCAAAAGAGTTATTCGACTGGGGAACAGAAGCATTGCCGAATATGACGTGCTGTTGTTCGACAGTTGATAAATACAAATTGGAAGAAATTCAATTGTCCAAACGTTTCCAAAAAGCTTCAACAATAAAAGGAACTTTAAAATATGATTATTGGAAGCAAAACGGTTTTCATTATGTGAAAAAAAGGATATTCTAAAAATTTTCAAACAGAAAATGTAAATATTGTCTTACTTTTAAATATTTTACTTATTATTATATTCCAAACATTGTTCTTATCAACCAATGCGTTATCGAAATCTTAATTAAACCTTAATAAAAAATTTCATTTTCAACAATGTTTTTTATTTATTTTTATTTATGTATTTTTTCTTTTTTTTCGCATCTTCTTGGATAATAAAATATGTTTTTGAATTTAAAAAATGGAACAATTATTTGTATTTAAGAGATAAACAGTGTAAAACAAGAATATGAGCCGTAAAATGTGACCCACGTGTCGATGTGACGTACCACGCTAAATTAATTTTTTTCTCGCAGTAAAAATAACCCTTCTATTGTTTTCAACAGTGTGTTTGATAGAAAATTTGACGCAGAATACGATAAATATAGTAAAAAGTTGATTCATGGGTGGCGCCACTGTTAAAAACCGATTTAAACATTTAAATTGTTAATTACAATTTGAATTTCTTGACAATTCGTTTTATAAGTACTTGCTTCATAAAGCTTGTCTTTTTACCTCAAAAATAAAAAAAATGAATTTTTTAGCTTAAGTAGAACCGGAGTTACGAATTTTTGAAAAATAGGCTATTATCGATAAATCATCAAATTCACGAATTTTCGATCTTGTTTATTTTTTAAAATATCAAATATAAAAAGAAATTCTTTTACACGTATCTCTTTTTTTTTCAATATAGAACCCGCAAAAAAGGTTTCAGTTAAATCTAAAATGTGTCGGTCAGAAATGCATTCGGTTTGTAAAAGAACGTCCCACATATAAATGTCATATTTGATTTGGTATATGTTCGGGTAGCAACGGAGAGCGTCGAAGTATAGTTAAAACAATATGAAATGTATACTGTGCAGAATGACAAAAGAAACTGAGTGTGAGCCTTTTGTGTAATTAAATTTAGACATACCTATATATGTTAGTAGACTTAAGATTGGAAGTCTTTTGAGATGTATGCAGTACGTATTACATACACTGCGTGAAAATAATAGTATCTACGGAAAATTTGAAGTTGTAATAAAAAAAGAGGATTGACTTTTAAGTTATGTATTGCAAATTTACAGAGATTTTTGTGTATTTACTGCGGGTCAGCTGCGATAGAAGCATCTCTTTTATAATAAAATAATACAACATACAACTCAAGGTTCAATGAAAATATGATTTTGTCTCTTTCGCTCTATCACCATGACACGTCTTAACTTGGGTTAGGTCTTACTTATGGAGTCTACCTACAGAGGCCCTACCATGCGCCCCCTATACCATTTCTGCTCGAGAAGATTACTTAAATGAGGACAAGCTGAGGAAGAGCGAAAAAAGCTTGCTTCTGAATTATTGGTTGAAAAATTACGTGAAAATAACGAATAATTATGCAAATTGAGAGGAAGCGGGGGAACTGAGACTTTTGTCTATACAACTGTATTGACTATTTATCATGTTGACCATTGATTGAAGCCATGCTGAGATAACATTTTCCGTACTTAACGTATTTGAGTAAGTACTTTAGTTTAACGGGAATTAAAAACTAATTTTTGGAGTTAAACATAAGTAACTAATTGAATTAAATTACACTTCGACTTTGTGTTTTGGAACTTTCATGGTGCTTATGTTTTCCGTATGCTGAAAGAACGAAGTATCCTTTACACAACATCAAATTAAGATATTTAGTAATTTTAACTTGCTTCTTGCAATTCTTGGTAAGCAAACAAATTATTCTGTCGACAAACTTTTGTCTTTAACATCTAACATAAAAAGTAATTTTTTTTTTTTTTACTTGAAATATGTTTTTTAGTAATTTTATCATATAATTTTTTCATTGTTTTCAAGATTATGAGATTTTTTGTCAAAATACGAGTGATTTTTAATCTTTCTTGTTTTGAAGTTAAGGTTTGTGACTTTTTTCACAATATTTATTTTGTTACTATAGATTACCTATGTTTCTTAACGATAGATGGACAAGTGGTCTGAGGATAATATTGAACTAAAAGCCTACACCAAAGACCAGAACCCTTTAGGAAAGATGGAAATTAGGAGAAAAGGGACAAAATGGTAGAATAAGAGAAATGGAATCGGTGGAAAACTTTATCAGTATCAAATCCAATACAACACAATGCTATTGGTAGTGTTATGTTATTATTTATTTTTTGAACTATTTTTGAAACTTACCAAATTTTCAACACTTCTCTGCATTTTATCGTCTATACCATTTGTTGAGTTGTCATCCTTTATAATAAGTGTTGCCCTCTCTTCTTCGTGAACAGGAATGTGCTTCGTAATAGCTTTTACAAGTAATGCTCCTGGTATAGGAGCTGTTGCCCGCAATGCTTGTAAAACGCGGCCTAAAAATTGCTGTGTAGCAGATTCGTAGAGATCAAAAGCTATTTGGTACGCCATCAAAACGCAATCTTCAGAACCTTTACTGAGCTTATCTAAAAGCTCTGAAACAGCTAAAGCGTCATCTAAAAATATTAGGCATTGGCACATGCTCACATAATCTGGGGTATTCAGATTTTTATATAGGCGAACTAAACATCGTAGTACTGTATTTCGAAAACCACGATTTTGAATAAGACTCATAGCAACTTGAAAAGCGTAAGACAGCATCCCACTTACATCATCCTGCAAAAAAAATTTTTATTCAATACCTAAGCATATTTTAGCTTTTATCGCAATTAAAAACACATAAAAATAATAAATATCAAAAAAACATTTAATAAAATTCATATAAATACGAAATGTTCAAGCCTTTAGTGAAAATTCTTAAGACAAACAATAATTCATTTTATTATTTATTACATAGTGGGAATTCCTTATAAATCCATTTAAAATCTAGATATCAGCAGAAAATTACGATAAATGAAAAAAGTTTTAGCCAGCGAATGCGGTTAAGTAGAGACTTTTACGTAATTTTTTCAGTATTTAAATTGGTGGTTTGGTATGTTAGTAATCATAAAAAATGGGTGATAGGATTAAACATTTAAGTAGAGATAGCCAGACATCATTTCACAAGAATCAGGTAAGTAGTAGGCACCTTATAAAGTAGAAAAAGGTTATCAGATTAAAGAAGATTTAAACAAATTTGGATAAAGTAGTGCTGCTCTACTGTCATGTTTTCTTTTTCGTATGCGCTTGTGTACTGATTATATGTGATATTAAAAAAGCACAATTATAAAAAGAAACTAAGATTAAATAAACTACTGCAAAAACTTTTATACGTGGAAATTCAAAGTGCGTAAACAATTCATAATATGGTTAAAGGTAGGAACATCACTATATCCAGGAAGCTACTGACAAAAAAAGGCTTAAGTGAAGCCACACGATTTAATATATATATACACGTCTACGTCATAAGACTAATTAAGCGGAATTCAAATTTCATGAAAAAAAACTAGAGCAAAAAAGACTTGGTTATTGCACTTAAGATTACAAAAAAAATTTTAATAGAGATAGCAGAGAAAACAAGTCAGTTTGGAAATTCAGGCTTTAAGCAGGTTTGGGAGTTTCATTCCGAGAGGCGAGGAACAAGGAGTCCTCCTTGCCCACGCAGCTAGGCCTCCTTTTCCACGCACCTTCTCTGGCACTCTACAAACTTGAAACTGTACGACTGTAACTGCATGTATTTTTGAAAAATGCCTAGCAAGGCTTGATTTTTTTTTCGGGCATCTTCCTTAAGTACCAAGGTATCTATGAAAACGTTTTTTTTCTATTCCAACACATTCAAAATGTACCTTAATTTCAATTAAAAGGTAAACCCAACCTAGTTCTGAAAAAATTCTGAAAAAATTCTGCGTGTTCCTAATAAGCTCAAATACACGATACATTTTTTTGGCACGTCTCTCCATTTTAAACTTTTCTCTTAATCCTTCTTAATTATCTATGATTAAAAAAAAGTTACTAGTAAAAACAGGACTACAGCTTTTACTGGTGTTAGCTGTCTAGGAATTCAAGCAAAATAATTTTTTTGGGGCAAAAAAAGGTTTACGTAATAAGGTAACATGGCATCACAGTTCAAGGTTTAAATGAGGCAATTGACTGAATACAAGAAACGTTTTGCGAAAAATAAGTAAGTTTGTAGAAGACGAACACATAAATATTTAAAGTATTTGGGGTTAGAAGAGTATTGAAAATTACTACAAGGCAGTCGAATAGTATTGAAAGAGGGATATAATGAAAACACGATACAAACATTAACATACTCATCAAAAATGAGTTGCACTATAAGCATGGAAAAATACAAGGGCTAATGTAAAGGGAAAAAAAAAATGTGAAACTAACAGTTCTTGTTTGAAAAAAAGCTTTACAAAATCTAAAAGAACATGTAATAATGAATCGATGTTGAATGCGACGATGGAAAGAAAATAAATAAAAAATCATGGTCATTTCAAGTACAAACTGTTTTGAAATGTTTTTATTAGAATGCATGAAAAAGAAAAAATAACAAAGAAAATTGAAATGTGAGAAGCAAAAAGGATTTTTTGTTGAAATAAAAAAGTAGTGGATTAAGAACTAGTTGAGTGTAATTATAGCTGTAAAAAATTAGTTGTTTACGTTTCAATACATTTAAATAGTGTTTTAATAGTGTTTAAATAGCTAAGTTAGCAAGTTATTAAGTTTATTTTTTAAGAATGTTAATAAAGTTTCAAGATCCTCTTCAAAGATATCCGGTTTGTCAGGTTTAAAGTAGACAGTAACAATCATCAATTTAGTTTGGTCGATTTTCCTAGCCATTGCGATAAAGAATTTGTTATCCATAATAAGCCGTGGGAAACTTAAGAGTTTCTCGTTGTATAAAAGATTGCTCTTTGAAAATGGATTTAATGACAGGGCTAACAAAAATAACAAAATCAAAGAAAAGGTCAGGCCTTCCTGGCCTGGAGAGAAGGATTGTCCTATTAAAAAAAAACTCCAATGGCGATATACGTCAATGGGATAACCACAGAAATATTAAGCAACAGAGACAATGTATTAGCCCCTACGTACCTGGACAGAAACTCCTGAAGGAAAGAAACTAAAAGTTATTTTTTATGTTGATAAAAAAAACACTTCAAGTTATATCTAAGTAGATTAAATAGTTATCTTAAAAATCGTCATGTTTATCATGAATGTTTGCATTAATTTTTTATGTGAAATTGCAAACTTTTAATTGCGTCATGAAGGAATGTATGTACTGGTTGAAGAAAATATGTTTTTTTTTAACCTTATTTTCAAGTTTTTCCGTTATGTTAAGAATGGAACACGGTATTTTAAAAAAGCGTCTTGGAGTAAGTATTCCACTATATTTAAACACAATTAAAAACTCAATTGCCTTGTTTTGATATCCACAGCTTATAAATATAGTGCTCGTATATCCATAGAAATTAAAAAATAAAATTGATTTGATGTACCGTTTGAACGACATTGCAATTAGTTGTCTGTTATAAAAAAAAAACTTCTGCGGATATTGTAATTCTAAACTCGTAAGTCAAGTTTAACATTGTTGTCTTGAGAATGTTTAAAAATTTTTAAAAATATTAATTGTTTACAGGGTTTTAATTTTTTTCGAAATTGAAAATTGTAATTTTTTGTTTCTTAAAATCATGACTTCAGCGTACGATAATTTATTGTGATTAGAATTATTTCTGTACTAATTTTCAAGAAATATCATGGGAGCGCACGGTGGCTTAGTCGGCTAGGTCGTAGATCGGCACGCGGGAGACTGTGGTTCGATTCCCTACCAGTGTACCTTTTTTGGGCAAGTACCTCTGTGAATTTTCCCATGTGCTTTTTCACCACGCAATGCTCCTCGAGGAGAGTTGAGCGACCTCCTCGCAGCAAAAAATTGCCTAATTTCTCCCTACCTTTCTCCCAGTAATAGGAGGCCTCCCACATCCCTCTTCTCTTTTCTCTCCCAAGTGCTAAGTGCCAAGAGTAGTGCCCTTTATTTGAGCCAGACGTAAAGCACTATGATGAAAAAAAAAAAAAAAGAAAATTTATTAAGTAGAACTTAAAATAATTAATTAGTGTAAGTAATTTGTATAGTTTTATTATCTTAATATTAACTACCTTGATTAATCCATCTTCTAATATACAGTGGAACTTAATTTTTTTTGCTGTTCTACATACATTCATGATGAATAAAAATTTTAAGATGCAAAAAAAAAATTTGTTAATATCATCCAGTATTTCATCGAAAAATCAATTTTTCAACATGTGCTTGGATTTTTATCGTCGAAAAATAAAAGAAAAACCAATCAAGTGATTATGTTTTACAACGGATGATAATTTTCTCTCTAGTGTAATATATTACACACGAATACAATCAATATTGTTCATCGAATTTATAATAAGCAACAATTTATTAAATGATTGTCAATTGATGATAAAAGTAACTTGCGCCGCATTTATATAATCTTCGTATGTAAAAAACACTAATCAACTGTAACAATTGCTTGGTTTTTTACTCAATGTATAATATAAATAATGAATTACAAATCATTCGAAGATAATTAAAGTTTTACAATTAGATCATTTTAAATAACTAGCTGGAGAAACAAATTTACTAAATAATTAGATATTTTATGAGGTGAAGAAGTATTGCCGCTTGTTATTACCATTTCAAATGACTGATAGAGCCCAAATTTTCCAACATAATTAACGAGTCGAATAGAGGAATAGAAAATGAGATAACGGATAGTTGGTACATATCCGAGTGATTAATCTTTATAGTCTAATTGTTAAACTTAATGATAACAAATCAAGGAATTGTTTAATCAATGTAAAAGCATGATTTACAAGTAGGTTTCATAGTTTTTGCTCGTTATAAATAATTATTGATTATGGGAATTACGTAGTTACTCAATAACTGTTTTTTTAAATCGTTTGGATTTCGTTAATTTATAAAATACATGAAGATAAAAGATAGTCGAATAACAGACACATCAAGATGTTGAAATGCGGTAACCTATCATGTTTTCTAAAAAAACTAAATTAGAAAGAGACATTCTATTAGGATCTTAGATTAACAAATTTTTAAGAATTTGTAAAATTCAACTTAGTTTGAACTAGAGTATTGTAAGCATTACTAAATAAGCGGACTTTAATAAGACACAAGCGTGCCTTGAGTGGTGTAAGCATTTCTCTAAAGTTTGCAACGTTGCGTGCAACGAAAATAAAAAAAATTTTTTTTTTTTCAACTAAGATACTTTAAACGCTTTAACAAGAAATAAAGAAGGCTCCCATCGATTTTGAGATCATAAAAATGTACTCTTCTCGCCATATAACAGTTTAAAGATTAATTCAAATGTAAAAGCGTAAAAAATGCGGTTAGTCCTTTAAAACTATTAAAGTAAGGTTCATATATTATATATAAATCAAGATAACTCTCTGTCTACGAAATAACTCATAAAAACCACCAAAAACAAATAAAGCTCTTAGCTATAATACAGTCAGGATATAGCAATGACCCATATAATCCAATATTCCAACAAAGTTAAGGTAAGATGTATACGCATGTACAAATGACTTGAAAAACAAAAAATTATCCGTAATGAAACTATATTGTTACTGTCAGTACAATGAAAAAACTAAAAATTAATATTCCCCGTCTTCTAGAACTTAATATAATAAATATTTCA